ACTTTTAATACTTTACATTCCACGTCACACTTGGCTTTTAATGTTACTTTCCCCCTACTTAAATTCCACCCAAATTTCCTACACTTTATATTCTGTCAATGTATTCCTGCTCTTATCTCCTAAACCATACAAACATCACACACATGCAATATCTTCACCCTCTCTATATAAAAAATAGACCAAAATCAACAATTCAAATAAAAAATTATAAACAATCTTACCAATTTTCTTCCAAGTTCCTAAATTGCAAATATCCAAAATTTTGATCTCCCTCTAGAAACAATGCTCCACGTTGGCTGGCGACACTTGATATAGAAACCCCCTGTATATCAATATTTTAAATAGATTTGCCCAGACTCTTAAAAGGGGTGGTTCGACTCTAAAAATTTACATAAAAATATTATTTACCAAATTTAATTAATAAATAAAAAATAAATTTTAAATTCTTCAATCTTCTCTGCGTCTATCTGTCTTCTTATCTCTTTTTTGTGTGTGCTGCTCGTATCTGCTTGTCTCTGACCCTACCTATGTGTGCTGTTTGTATCTATCTGCTTGTCTCTGTCGTGTTTCTTTTAATATCTCTCCCTGGTATCTCTCCCTGCTACTCTTTCTCTATCTCTGGTTCTATATAATATTTCTCACTTTCTAAATAAAATTCTTTACCTTTATTTTTCCAACCTTCTTTATTGTAATATCTCAGTCTTTAACATTTCTTTATTATTCTAATATAATCTTAATTTTTATTTAACATTTTATATCTATTAATCTTTTTATATCAATTTCCCTCTGACAACTCATTTCTTTCTGACATTTTCAAAAATAATCAACAAAAATCCCGACATTTTGATTTTAACTTGAATTTTGATTTCAAGATACTTCACCACCCCAGTATTGCTCAATTTAAATAATAAATTTTATGACGTCAGGAATTTCTATATCAATATATACCTTTGGTGGTTTGTGCCTTATTTATTTCGAGATGCTGTTTCGTATATGTGTCAATATCGCTATATTCTAAATTGTAATATCGAAACGACACATTATCAAATATTTAATGATGTTGTTATAGCAAATCTTGTAACTAACAACATTTTAAATATTTTGATATCATTATTGGTTGTCATTGTACAACTCGAGAATGTGAAAAACATGTAGATTTTTATTGACCACTCCAATGTTTTCCAAAATAGTTCCAAAAAAGTTTTTCCAATTTAATTGTCTTCTTAAGATTTGATATAATAACATCATACCTATGATTAAATCTTCAATATGATGTGTCGTTTCGATATTATTTAGAATATAGCAAACTTGGCACATGATAAGAGAAATAAACATACCTAAGAAGTTTTTATACTTGAAGTAAGGAAATGCAAGAAAATCACAATTGCTGATACCTTTATTATCAAATTTGCTGACTCGTCTATCGGAAAGTTCTATAAGTCCAGATTTTGGTTCATTTTTTTTTCTCAATCCTTTTAATAGTCCATAATGATAATACAACCATTAAACATTTGATTTTCAATCAAATTTTTCCCTTTAACATTCCAAAGTTTTAAGTTGTCCTTCAAATAATTATGTATTTATATTACTGTAGATATGTATACAAATTAAAACTTTTATTAGAAACATAAATAAATTATGACTGGATAAATAGCTATGTCTTTTTACTTACTCATTCAAAACACGACATATCCCTCCATCTGAGTCCATATTAGTTCAGTGGGGTTAAGTTCACAGTGATATGGTGGTAATCACAACACTATTTTCATTTATCCTTCATTTATCCATGTTTCATCAAAAAAACAAAATATGTTTGTCTTCTATTCTTCATTTTCTTAAATATTGCCTCTTCCAACAAATAATTTCATCTTTTTCTATGAGCGCAGATTTTCTACCGTTCTTCTCCCAAACGAAATCTAATTCATGTAAAGTTTTCCACAATTTGTCTCTTTTAACGTTTGACAAAGTTTCGTCTCCATTAATGCCTACTAAAAGTTTATCCAAAGAGGTATCTTTTTTTGTAAATAAATGAATGTACTTTTCTTCGGATCAGTTGTTTCATAGTACCGTTCTATTTGAATGGGTTTTCTCCCAGTTGACCTTTTAGGTGCTACTGTAATCAGGGTCATAACCAGCCCCATGTTTCAGGAGGGCTAAACAAAATCAATTTTTAGAATAACTGCAGTTTTCTATTTTTTAAATTAATAAACTCAACCAACAAATTGTCAATACTTATATTTTTTACCCTCTTTTTTTCAAATGCTAAATAGGTAAGGTTTGCCAGCCTGCGCTGAGATCTATCAATTCTAGTGAGGACAGAAAAATTAGACTCGCAAAGAGCCGTATTTCTAGCGAACGTGCGGCAAGTCGCTAGAAATTCATAAGTGTCTTTAAAAACAGTTTGTTGCTTTAAAATAGATTGAAAAATATTGAGATTCTCTGCAGCATTCTCGTTTGTTTGTCGATCTATATATTTCTTGGCGACTTCCATTTCTGTGGTACTTGGCAATTGAATGCTCAGTTCGGCCAGTGGTTGACATTTTTTTAATTTCTAATTTTTCTCCCAGCATAATGACTTTAATAAATTATGTCAAGGACACTGGAAAGCGACTCATTGTTAATTGTTTGCATTTTTCACTAATAATGGCTGTTTAGGGCAATTTTCTAGAAGAGGCTTAGATAAGCTTTAGGGGAGGCTCAGTCTCTCTGGCGCCTTTCTCGCCACGGCCCTGACTGTAATACTTCCATCCTTTCAATGCTTCAAAAGTCTATAAATGGTTGTTTCTCCAACTCCGGTCATATATGAACACTTAGAAACTATACTCCGAACAGTACTATTGAAATGTTCACGTACAAGAGCGTCATGTACATTTAACACTAAAGTTTTTTTATGCACGGTTAAATTGCACTTTAATTCCACAGGAGTATAATTAGATATTTGTGCCATTTTTATTGCACAAATTTACTTGATCAATATCGCTTTTTATCGCCTAACCAGAACTAACAATTCTGCGTGTTACAATCACAGGACTATATAAACAAAATGTAAATCTTAACTAAAATAATTTACAATCTGCATAACACTTTTTGTCGATTAGACATTTTAATCCTTTCTAAGAAAGTTGAGGGCTACTTATATTTATCTTGAATTATAAATATTTTCTACCTGTAGAGATTACATACCTTATTTTTGTTGATTAACATGACTAGAAAATTTAAGACAAGAATTGAAATAAATTTGTATTTTTAAAAATTTTAGGAAGAATACCAAATAATGTTAAACATTTTATTTTAGAAATTCTCTGTCACTGATTTATGACTAGCGTCATTGATGACGTGCTACGGGATCTGTATTTTAAATACTATATTTCTAATTTGTTTGGAAATGTTTATTAAGCTCCGAGCTCCGCCCATTGTAACGTGACGTAGGACTTAGGATGTCTATTACGACACGATAATTAACTTCGCTTAGTCGGGTCACTCTGATTGGGGGCCTTTGATACAAAATTGCCACATTTAGTGTATTTTTACTTTTTTGGTAATTTTCAGCTTTTTGGCTAGTTTTATTAGACTGTTTTTGGTAGATTTTAGTAGATTTCTATAAATTAATAAACAAAACCAATTACTCAAATAAAACTTCCCTATTTAAATAATTGTGTTACTAAAAACTTTAGGTTATAATGTTTAACTTACCTGTACCTTATGTTCTTTTACTTACCAAATTGAGAATTTTTACTTAAATTTGAGAATAATCACTTTGAATTGACATTTATTAAAATGCCTATAGTTATATTAGCCCTAATTTGAGATTATCTATGTAAAATATGTAATAAATTTAAATTAATTTAATTAAAATATTTAATCTTTAATATTTGTTAAATATTACATACAACCTGTGTTTTTATCACAGCTTCAGTGATCATTTATATTAATGCAGTATTCAGTAGATTACACTAGTCATTCTAAATTTTTTATGAATAACTATTTTTACTTAAGTGTAAGGGTTAAAGAAAAGGTCCTTTATTTCTCACAAGCCAATTTAATTGGCGACCGGTTTCGAAGCTGTCACTTCATCATCAGGCACACCTAAATGGAATGTCAAGGAGTCAGTTGTAATAAAAAAAAACAATTATAAAAGCATGAACGGACTTTAACATATACAAAATAACAGAAAAAACACAAAAGAAGTTAAACAATAACCTTGACTCATCTTGACTATTTCCATAAAGGAAGCGCTACATAAAGTTTAACAAAACGAGTTAAAAAAGTCATATGTAATACAATAGTATTTTTTAAAAATATTGTAGGTTAGGTTAAACCGCGAGATGTCTGTTTGAATAAATTAATTAAAACACATGTAAGACTATTATTAACTAAACAACACAAAATAGTTTTTACAAGCACAAACAGTTTAAAATTTTTTTTAAGGATATAACGTTAATTAATAAAAGTAAAAAGTAAAAATTATCAGACTCAAGACATCTATCTAGATTTTTTAACGAATCAATGTAGTAAACTATAAATTTTAAATTTAGTGGATAAATAGTGTACTAACAAAGGTGTTATTTACTGAAAGTGAGTATAGGGGGCGGTGACAGAATTTATTGAAAGTAAAAATATTGAACTGGGAAATGAGAAAGCAAAAAATACTAACAAGAAAATTAGAACACTGAACAAGAAAATATGAAAATTCATATGTAAAAGGGAAATTTGAAGCAGATAATCAAAAGAAAAATTACTGTTACAGGAAATTCCATACCATTTAGGTGTGCCTGATGATGAAGTGACAGCTTCGAAACCGGTCGCCAATTAAATTGACTTGTGAGAAATAAAGGACCTTTTCTTTAACCCTTACACTTAATCCCTACTACTCACACTCCAAAACTATTTTTACTATTTTAATTATATCATTTATACTATGTTTTTGAAATATCTTGTATATTTTGGTCTGAAAAGAAATTTTCAATCAAAAACATCTGAAATACTTCTTTTTGTTGCAGGACTCCAAGACTGCCAAAGACTTTCCGACGAAGCCCTCAAGCACGCCACGGGCCTCACCTCGCTGAAATCCATCAACCTTTCGTTCTGCATCAGCATCACGGACAGCGGTCTCAAACATCTCGCCAAAATGTCCAATCTGCGCGAGTTGAACCTCAGGTCGTGCGACAACATCTCCGACATAGGCATGGCCTATTTAGCAGAAGGTGGGTCTAGGATTTCTTCCCTAGATGTGTCGTTTTGCGACAAAATCGGCGACCAAGCTTTAACGCACATCTCCCAAGGACTGTTCAATTTGAAAAGTTTGTCGTTGAGTGCGTGCCAGATATCGGACGACGGTTTGGCCAAAATAGCGAACACTTTGCACGATTTAGAGACTCTCCATATAGGCCAGTGCAGTCGAGTGACCGATAAAGGTTTAACGAACATAGCCGATTCGCTTACTAGATTAAAGTGTATAGACTTGTACGGGTGTACGAGGATAACGACTGTAGGGTTAGAGAAGGTTATGAAATTGCCGCAATTAAGCGTGTTGAATCTGGGGTTGTGGCACGTCAGGTGAAACGCGTTCCTTTAGATAGATATGCGAATTTTGAATTTTTTGGTGAAAGGAAATTTTCGAAATCTGCGAGGTGAGTCTGAAAGGTTCCACAAGATTGCGGGTTTACATGGTTTTGCGATGTTCTAGAATCTACTAGAAAGTACGTAAGACGGTTTGAAATTGTTTAGAGCAAATCTGTTCATCAAATCCAGCATAAAATAATTTATAGTTTTTCATATATTACGCTTCATATAAATTATTGAACATTGCAAAATAATTTTTTTAACAAAATGGTTATTTCTGGTACTTTTAGAGTTAATATTTCGCTGTCAGGATAAAAATTTCACTCTATATATTTTGCTAAAATTTTCGGCTGTTTAACAATGTTTGATAAATTAACATTAAAAATCTTTTCAAATATTTAGCAAAATGCTCGAAAAATACGCATTTTTATAATTTTACCAGTGGATTTATGCATACATATTTTGGTAACTTTAAATTTTATGGACAAAAAATTACATTTTAGTAAAATGTTCCTCAAAAACCATAAGATGCTATGAAAAAAGCACGTTCTTATTTTTAACTCTTTCTGCCAACTTCCGATTTTTCGTAATTCTCTTTAAAGCAGCTCATAGAGATTCGGATTCTACTCAATGAGACCTACAAAAGGATATATCATAATAAAACAAACAATTTTTAATATTTTCGGGCGCCATATTGGATCTACCATTTTGTATTTCTAATTTTTAGGGTCATATTCAAAATCAACGATTTTGAAAACCCTATAGAAATTCATCAGGTTTCTTTTTTATGCAAAACAAACAATTTTTACATTTTCGGGCGCCATTTTGCATTTACCATTTTTAATGTCATATTTAAAATCAGTGACCCCAAAAACACCTTAGAAACCCTTCAGGCTTAATTTTTATGCAAAACAAGCCATTTTTAATATTTCCTGGCCCAATATTAGATCCGCCATTTTGTATTTCCAATTTTTAAAGTCATATTTAAAATTAGCAACCTTGAAAAAAATTGTAACGAGTAACTTTTTCTGTTGGTAACGCTTCAAGATATCTAAGTTACTAACACTGTCACCTATCGTTTGTTAATCCGGGTATTCGTTATTACTGTCATTTATCATTACTGTCATTTGTCATTATTGTCATTTGCCATTACTATCATTTGTCATTATTATCATTTGTCATTTCTCTTACACTATAAAAATCATAACACAAGAAATTTAAATAAATAAGTAGAACTTCTATTTTCTTTTTGTACCAAAAGAAAATCCTGTATTAATGGCATTACTAAATTCATATTCTATACCACGGGAGGTACTCCTGCTCCACACTTTCTCTCCAATTTACCCATATAGGCGTTAGTATACAATTAAAAAAAAACACTAATACCTCAAATATACCTTTCTCTATCACTACTTTTAGACTTTGCAAGACAGGCATTATAAAATAATTTATCTCGAGTATCGGCCCTAGAACAGAGCCTTGGAGTATTCCATGATTTAATTTGTTTTGAAAAGATCATTCATTAGTTTACACCACAAAGAGTAATGGTTCCATCTTTTAATTTTTTTATAAATATTGTTAAAAATGATAAAAAGTAATGGCTCCAGAATATAGCTTTATGGTATTCTAAGCTTTATTTTTTGTAACGTCATTAACACAGATGGTAAAAAGTAACGGTTTCACAACAGAGTTCTGGGGTACCCCATGCTCAGTAAATACTTTTTTATGCAAGATATACATCTTAAAATAGCAAACATAATTTATATAGAGTATCGACTCCAGAACAGATCCTTAGGCTACTTCATGATTTTTTCTAGATCAGTAATTTAGATTATAAAAAGTAAAGATCCTATCCTTTTAATTCTTTTAGAAATTCAATTAGATGAGAAAGGGTAACGACCCCAGAACAGGGCCTTATGGTATTCCCTAAGTACTTTAAAGAGTAACGATCTCAGACCGGAAGTCTGGGGTACGCCATGCGGTTTAGGTATACCCATTCTGAATTTTACAGATTTAATTCTATTAGAAATATCATTATTATAAATAATACTTAAAGACCCAAGAACATAGGTTTGCGGTATCCCATGTATTATTTTATTTGTTATTAAGGTAGAGGTAAAGAAGGGTCTCAGAACAGGTCTGAGGTACCTATTATGAATTTTACAGATTTAAAAATCTTTTAGAAATATTATAAATGATAAAAAGTAACGGCCCCAGAACAGATTCTTGTGGTAATCCGTATGTTTTTTTTTTTTTCTTTAAATGTCATTAACACAGATAGTAAAGAATAACGGTCTCAGAACAGAGGTCCACGTTTTATTTATTTTGATTTAGGTTCTTATATCGATACTGAATTTTACAGAGTTATCAACAGTTATATTTTTTTGTTATGACGGTATTAGAAATAAGAATAGAAAAAAAGTTAGAAATGAAAAATAAATTTCTTACTGGATTTGTTGAACAAATTTACCGAATATTATAGACGAATTTGAACGTCCAAATTCTGATTTTGTATAACATCGATTTCCGTGGATTCTTCCAAGACTTGTCTCGCTGTGATTTTCCAAATTTTGCGGCCGACATTTTTTGCATTCGTACGTTTTGGATAAATACATTCCAAAAAATTCCTAAAATGCAATTAAAGATGGATTTCTAGAGGATGCGCATTCTGAGCTGTGATAGATAAAAAAAACGAATGACGTAAAAGTTAGATTAAGCTGACTATATTTAGGTTTATATCAGGTATACAAGATTGTTGCTGGGAGAAACTTTGATTGTATCCACAAAAAAAATTTATAAGTAGGTATATGAATATTAATGAGTCGCGCTGTTGCACCTTGAGGTGTCGTGGAGATTTGAAAAGTTAGAATGTTTAATATAAATGCAAATAATATAGTTTTTTTTACAATCTTTCTATTAAGAATTAAGACCTTTCGTCGTTTAATATTGGTAATTCATGCCATTTTACAAATAATTGTAGTATTTGTTGTACTTTATATACAGTAAGAATCAAAAAAGTATTGATTTTTGAAAAAAGTCAAAACTTGGTTAATTTTGTTTTAAAAATTCCTCACTTTTTGACAAAATATACAGGGTGATGCGTGTTAATGTAGCTACGTCATCGGAATTTTTTTTAAAGGCAATTCCCATTTTTTAATTCATATTTTTGACACTACCCAATTGCCAGGTTCGGCCTGAAAACAGAAATAAACTAAATATTTCAAAAATACAGGGTGTTTCATAAGGAATAATAAATATTTCAACCATCGATTCAGTGCCTTAAAATATTAATACTTATTAATACCAAATAACACTGAATCACATGTTACCTACTTCTAAAATGCAGGATGTTAAAATGTTTTATTCGTTTTTTGTGCAATATTTGCGTTATTATTTAACGAATTGACTTAAAATTTGATATTGTTATATTTTTGGGCTATAAATAATAGGTATATTATCAATTTTGAAATTAGACAAAGAGGGCGCCACCTACAGTCTACTGGATGAAGAAAACTATAAGTCTTTATGGTGAACCCTGTAAATTTTTAATAACCTAAATTCAACCAATTTTTATTTTCAAGCCTACTTTGTTGAAATATTGTAAAGTAGATTAAATAAATACTGGGGCTAGAAAATTTTAAATGCAAATTTTTCGAAATGGATTGAATTTATGCTATGAAAACAAGTATACGTTTTTTGTTCAAATTTGCAGGGTATACCATAAAAATTTGAATTTTTTTAGAAATGCCAAGAATTAAAGTGTAGGTTGGTGCCCTCTTTGTCTAATCTCAAAATTGATAGCATGCTTACGATTTACTAGCTCAAAAATATAACCATACCAAATTTTAAGTCAATAAATAATAACGAAAATATTGCAAAAAAACGAAAAATTAATTTTAACTATTACACAACCTTGTATCTGAGAAGTAGGTAACATTTGACACAGTGTTATTTAGCAAAATATTAATATTTTGAGGTCCTATGGTTAAACATATTTACCATTCCTTATTAATCACCCTGTATATGAACTATTTAGAATTCTAACCTAAAAATAAGAATGTGCTGTTTGCATTTTACATATTGTTTTATTTGAAGGTAAATTATTTGTTAACTTTTATATGATTGATATTTCTTTTACTTAAATCATGATATTAAGTCAAACTATAAAAAAATATATACTATGTACGAGGGAAGTAAAAAAATAGAAAAATTTATTTAAACAAGCAAATAATTATGGCTATTATTCAAAAGGGTAATCACCCGTTTGAATATCAGCCATTGTATGCGAGTAGAATACTATACTTTGTCCACGACTGTTATACATTTATGAAAATGCTTTTATTGAAGCAAATATTGGTACATTATTTTTATTATTTATAGCATGACAAAAAAAATTAATTTAAGATTATTTATGTTAATAATTACATTTAAAAAATATGTTACTTTATTTACAGGAATAGAATTAACGTCTAAATTAATATTCTGATTATTTGTAAAAATCCTTTGATTGCTTGCCAGTAATTCAATTTCACCACTTTCAGTTCATTTCCATATTTCTGAATCCATTTTTTCTTAATTTTTAGTGAATTATTATTTCAAAGCTTAAGTTTAAAATGTAGTGTTTTTCTCTTTGTCCGTTTTTGAGTTATATTCGAAATCTCCACTTTTCCTCAAGTATCTCGAATACGGTCCATCTTAGGAAAATTATGTATTCAACAAAAATTATAGAGAATACCACCACAACAACTTTTATTTGAAGAATTTTCTTCTCCAATCGTAAATAACAGTTATATTCTATAAAGTAGAAAAATTACCACCTATAAAGTTCCCTCCCAGATGTTCCGACTATGCCCAAAATATAATCAGCTCACCGCAGGACGGATTAGAGCTTAAGTTAATTTTGTGTTTTTATGTTTATCTGTTATCGTGTATACAGACACACACACACAGACATCATCGCGAAAATAGTTAAAACGAAGTCAACAGACCCCAAAACGTAAAAGTCCATCGAAAACTCGAGGTCGAAAAAGTCATGATTCCTATACTTTCCTCATCTGTATTCAGACAGGAAAGTAAATATGGGTACATTTTAAAACTGTTGTGAACAAATAATATTTACGTCCAAATATGAAATTACAGCCTACTATTTCAAAACAATATTTTTTCAATTTTTAATGTCCTAAATTTTTTTAAATAAAAGGACTTTACTCTTAAATCAAATTCCTATTTTTTACTTCCATCGTACATGATTATTTTGTTGACGTTTTAAGTTAACATTAAAGTGAAATACCGACTTTTATCAATATTTTTTCCAAAAGTCATTAATACAAAATTTTTCATGCAGTGCAAACTTTATGGACACACATAAAATATCTATCTGAAAATCATTCAAAACGAAAAAAATACATGGTGGTCCAGTTTATATCGCCAAGATTTTACCAACCGCTAGTTTATCGAAATGATGTACAAGGTTTGTAAATTTTTTTTATTAATATCTAAAAAATGCTTGTTCAATTTTAATAAAATTTTCTGTTTTTTGACAACTTTATGTATTTCGTACATGTTACAGTTGATCCAGTAATTACAGAGGCGTACTGACAGGGCACTTCCATTAGTTTTCAACACACAAAATAATGCCCGGTAGATTTTTTGAATTTTTCATAATTTTTTTAAATTAAACTTACCATTTTTTTGGCACGTCTCTAAATATTTACCTGAACCCTGAATTTCAAAAAGAAAGTAAAATGCTTTATTGGATAAAGTTCCTTTATTTTTTGATAAACTATCAGCTGATGAAATCATGGCGATATAAACTGGACCACCCTGTATAAGCCATCAAGGCTAACACAATGTAAACAAGAAAGTTGTCTACTTATTTATTATAGACCAAATGACAATCGAATAGAAAACATTTTGTGTCTGGGTTAGGTTTACTAAAATACGTAATAACTATTGGAAATTATCAGAGCATTTGATAAAAATATAACATTTATCCTTGAATATAACCAAATCTAAATAGAAATTGCCAATATTTAACTTCCTAAAAGAAAAAAGTGACTTGATTTTTAAAATTCACCTAGTTAACCAAAGGGTATAGCGTGACTATTGCTTTTAAACCTGATTTGTTTTGCTTTTTCTTTTAATCACAAAAAAACAAATCTCGTTACATTACAACAATCCTTTGAGTTTTGAAATAAGACTGTAGAATCTAGACTTCATGGTTTACCGTAACAAAAGCGAATCGTAGTTTACTCAAGATGCCGGAAATTAGCCATTCCATTTTATATTGTGCATGGTTGTAAGACAAATTTCAAATTTAGATTTCAAATTGATTTTTAATTGATATTATTTAACAGACTATCTCTATAGAATTATTTTTATGTCATTGTTAAGATTAAATGTTAATTTTTATCTCGATTTGAATTGAGCATTCCAGATTCATTCAAACCTTTTATATAGGGTGATTCATTAAAATTGCACCAAAGTTTAAAATCAAAATGTTGGGTTTTAATTCTTTTTTCTACAATAAAATCAAAGTGACGAAATTGACAATTCTGTAAAATACACCAACATATAACAGATTCCGAAAACGATTTTGTGTTTTTTTCCTTTGTCTAATTTAAGAGAGATGCATACGCCGCCACATACAATAAATTCCATGACGCAATTTCAGCATTTATTTCACTTCTGGTGGAGTTAAAGACATTTAATTTCCATTTGTTATAAACATTTCAACTCGGTCACCATTCAGCGAATATTTACTTACAGTTCTTATACTCCCACTACGAGCAAAACCTTCGCCTCATTTTTGGCACTTAATCTCCCCAATTAGTTTATAACGATTTTTTCTGTAATAATTTCTTACTATCCATAATAATACGGCTCCACTCTGTATGACAGTTGTTCTTGTTGGTTATTTAGAAGAAAACGACCTTGGCTTCTCGGCTATTCATATAATAAACGTTTAGGTACGTATATATGTATCTCTTTTCTCTCCACTTAGTTTTAGTTCTATTCATACACTCATGTGCAGCTCATAATAATAAATAAATTTCTTCTTATGGTCTCATTATGTAACGTGCGACATTCAAAATCATCAAGGTCGAATAATTGCACGCGAATGTTCTAATATTCAAACGTTTGAAAAATCTTATTTAAATATCGAGAAAGAGAGAGAAAAAAAGATCGTTTAGAATCGATAGTCAAGGTTAAGGTTATATAAAGTTGTATGAAACGTTTACATTTTAAACAATTATAATGTTTGCATTCTAAAATTGTAAAAATAATACGGAAACTGGCTACTTCAACTGTCTGTTTCAAAAATTAATATTAAATTTACTAGTACCAGTAAAAATACCATTAAATAATGCCAATGAAATTATGTTTCAGAAGAATCTTCTGTAAGTATATCAATTCCTATTTTCAACAGTTATTTTACACATTTTGACAGTACATGTCATTTGAAGTAACATAACCTTTAACTTTTTTTTTTTTTCGGCCGTATCTTTCAGGACAATTGAACCCGTCCGTTAACTAAAACTTTTCAGGAGCACTAAAAATATGTGTCATGTGAAAAGAGTCTGTGGTGCTAAAAAAATGAACATAGAAGGCGATAAATAAAGGACAGAATTTTTGTGACATTTATATAATAAAAAAAATATTAATCATACTGATATTTGAAATAAAAAAATTTGGACTTATGCCTTTTTCAAAATGACTTCTTAGATGCATAGTCAAATCCAAAGATTTTCATAAGAAGGGTTAGTTATCATCATTATTTTCTTGATAATTATTGTTTGTTGCAGTTGTTGGACATGCAAAAACCTTTGTATAGAAATCTTGGTACTCTGCTGGAATATATTTTACTAATTTGTCCAAATCTGCCATTTTCTTTTCATTGATTGGCACTTTACCAGCATATGCAGGTAGGAGTATCACTTGTTGGTAAGGATGGCCTGGTACCCATCCTCTATAAGAGCTGGAAATCATAACTGATAAAACAATCTATGGAACCACGTGTTGTTACAAGACCTGGTGTGGACTTACAAAAAGTGAAATGTGACACTTTGGAAATAGCAAAAGTTGTTTTTTGGTCCTTGGGTACTCCTTTTCCATAGGAATCCACAGACAGCACCACTTTCTTATAATATTTCGGCTATCATTTTTTTATGTCTATAATATCTTCAGTTTTTGGCCTTTGTATTTAAAATTTTTCATTAGCTACAACTATAAGATTTTCATACTCGGCTGGAGTCATTTTTTCGAATATGTCTCTTTGCTGTCCCAAACATTCTGTCGTTTGGCAGAAATGAATGACCTCTTTTGGGTATGTAATATTCTATCTTCTTGATATTGTTATTTTGTTCAGCTGCCAGTGATAAAAGGATACGAACCATGGCATGAATACGATTTTGGCCTGCACAGTCATCTGAAAATAGGTGCAACTCTTCGGCATCATTGCCAATATTATTTTTAATGTAATCCAGCACAAAGGTACCCACTTCATTGTGACCTTTATTAGCAACTCCTTCACAATAAGAATAAAAGACTGATTTTCCAGTTTTCATGTCATAAATGCAAAACTCATATAGCCATAGTTGACGTAGATAAAAAAACTTCCTGCACTGGAATATGTGGAAGTGGTAAATTTTGCATGTATTCAAATGCTATCCCATACACCTTTGGATCATTTTTGCACTTAGTTTTTCACCTCCTGAATTTTTTGTAAAATTTATTTGCTTGTCTTTTTAGTTTTTTTTTAGTTTAATCTTTAACTCTCCACACAGTGCACAGACATGAATTTTCTTTCTACCAAATGATAAGCTAAAGTTTTCCTGCATATATTTTAAGTAAAATTTATATTTAACTGGATGATCTGGATATTTTTGTTTGTAAAATACATGCATAGTTTTCAAAATGAGTTTTTCATCTAAGTAATAGGCTGACGCATCTTTATTATAGTAGTGCACACATTTGACAGGAAATGACTCAATATGTTCCCGGATTTTAGATAATGTATCACCAGATATTGCATTGCTCCGTGATCCCTGTGATTTTCCTCTATGATCTATAGGTTGCTCGTTTATTTTTAATAAAATACATAAACGTCTAACTTGTTTCTCAGAAATTCCATGGATGCTGGAAAATGCTTTTTTGCACACTTTTAATTTAGCACCTTCTATCTTAATGTGATATTTGAAAGTAAATTGTCTATTCTTAGGTACTTCAGATCTGGGACGTTTTCTATGTATTTCCTGCTTTTCAATCAACGCCTGCAAGTATGTGTATTGGGCATTTTTACTATCAAAATTGTTAATAAAATGGATACTACTTTGGATATTATCTTCTGAGATAGTCTCCATACATTTTAACTTACATCTGTAAATAAAAAGTACAATAAATATCATCTCTAGCTAATATTTGGTAAAATATATTGAGAAAACAAAACTAACCTGCAATAAGCTCCTGTGTGTCTTGGTGGCACATATCTCCCCTTATGGTTTTTATGAGCTTTTCCAGCAATTTTGTTTTTTTTTTTATTTTGTTATGCATATAGTTTTCGATGTTCCTTACACCAGGCACCCTTTTTCTTGACTTATAAGCAGTATCAGCAAGCTCGCGATTCTCCATTTTCGTAACTGATAAAGTGAGGTTATTATATCTGACAGCTGCGTTCCGTGTCACTTGAAAGGGGCATGAGTCTGGGACTCGTGCCGTTTTCATACAGACTTTAATTTCTGACTGCTTTATAAGCTGCCTTGTGGTATATGAAGATGTGTCGTTTTAAAAAATGTGACTTGTGCCCTTTTCGAAATGACGGAATGGGCTAGTAATCTCTCATTATTATTTAATATTACAAAAACTAACTACATTTATTTCCATACATACCAAAATTCTAATATACCTTGTCTAGATATGTCTGTAAACAACACACACATAAATACAGTTGATTCCACAAAATTTCTAGGAATAACATTCGATGAAAATCTATCGTTTAAAACTCACTGTCAAAATTTAGCGACAACCTTAAACTCACAATGTTTTCAACTTCGTAACCTTAAATGCATTTTAAAACCTCACCATCTTCGTCAAATTTACTTCGCAAATGTACATTCTAGGTTGATTTATGGTATCTGTGTATGGGGCGGATCATCCCATGCTAATGAAGTATTTATATCTCAGAAGAGAATTATAAGATGCTTGGCTGGTATTCTACCAACAGATTCCTGTCGCCCTCTATTTAAAAAACTTAAAATCCTTACCGTATTCGGAGTATATATTTTAGAACTTTTAATATACATATATAAAAACAAATCGAATTTTAAACGTAATAGCGACTTTCATTCATATAGCACCAGGAACAAAGATGAACTTGTTCCTCTGTTAGCACAGCTAAATATTTGTGCTAAGTCACCAACAATTCTTGGAATAAAATTATTCAATAAACTGCCACAGAGCATAAAAAATGAATCAACATTAAAAACATTTAATCATCGAATAAAACAACAGCTTTTAGAAATATGTCCATATTCAGTGCAAGAATATTTTCAATATAAATTTGTACCACATGCTTCACCACCAAACTGTTCTAGATAAATTTATACAAATGCCCCTTTTCGCCTACCATTCTACGTTTGTCTCTTCTATATTTGTCTGTATTGTTTTGTTTAATTACTTTTATTTATTGTATACACCTTTATATTTATAATTCTGACGTGTCCAATAACATTATAACTGTTTAAATGGATTAATAAAGAATAGAATAGAATAGAATAGAATTAACTCAGCAACTAACCTTTAGCTGAACTTCTTGAGCTAAGTCCACTATCCACTAATAGAATATCTTCCTGAATGTGTTAACCTTCGACCTAATTCAGCTGTTTTCTGAATCTAATCAGTCAACTAGCAATTTTTTTACTAACTGCATTACATCACACCCTGTTAAATTTTGACCGTTACGTCCTTCAATTATTAACAACGAATTGAATTAAATATTAAAATCTAATTGAGGGCCTTTTATCAAAGGCAATTTTAGTTTCATTATCATTAAATGAATGCAACGTTTTGTGGGTACAATCAAATGTTATCTTGACCTGAAATTACTGTATTCAACCTAATTGAATGACCAAAGGTAAATAATATAATGCCACAATTTGATTTTTGTCGGAATGCATTTTTAGGTCTGAACAAAATTGGTAAATAAAATAGTATAAGTAAAAAATTGCGAAAAGAGTGCAAATTTTTGTAAGTGAAAATTGTTTTACTGGCTTAAAATTAAATTAACTTCATTCTATCGCCAATTTTTGGTTTCATACTAAAAAAATTGCCTATACTGAATTATATTGAAGTCTGCCAATTTCATCAAAAATGTCCCAAATTAATTAAGTAAAAGGCCTAGCTTGCTTAAAATGTGTTTCTTTTGTTTTTGATAAAAAATCGATCTACTGTCAATTCAATATGAAACCTTTGTTTTCTAGCAAACTACTTTACTACTTTAAATCAAATCTTTGAAACCAAAAATTGGCCAATTTAACCAATAATCCGCTTTGAATGAGTAAACAAGTTGTTTCCTCATCACATTCAGCTATTTTAGCCAAGTCTACTACTAGCAAATTTTAGCATTTATTAAATTATGCTTCTTTACGAACTAATACAATTTATTCATACAAAATTGACTCTAGATTGTAAAAATAGCCTGTGTTGAAAATTGGCTAAGACTGAAATATACATACAGGCATATTTTGCTGTATAATTGTGGTTATAAATCAATATTTACACCCAAAAAATTGGTTTTAATTAACCAAAATTGGTAGAAAATATTCAAAGAAAAAAATGACTGCTAAAAAAATTGAATAATTCTGAATTACGTGGAAATTATGATTTGCTTAGGAAAACAGGACATCATTCAGAATTTTCAAGCAAAATCCACAATATTTCTATCAGAGTGTCTTAATTAATGCCTCTGTTGATAATCGGCTGTTGCTGAATTATTTAGAAATAATGATATGCTGGGGAAAATCGGATAGTATTTTCATGCCAAATCAGCCAATTTTTTTTATCAGTGTATATAAATGCTTGAGTTTAAAATCGGCTGATGCTGAATTATTTGGAAATTATGATTTGATTAGGAAAATAGGACACCATTCAATATTTTCAAGCAAAATCAGTAAAATTTCTATACGAGTGTAAAAATGCCTATGTTAAAAATTGGCTAATGCTGAGTTATGTTGAATTTATAATTTTCTTAGGAAGTCAGAACATCGTCAGTATTTTCAAGCAAAATTTCTATCAGAGTGGAATAAATGCATGTGTTGAAAATTGGCTAATGCTAAATTATTTAAAAATTATACAAAAGGCACGTTTTGCTATGGAATTGCGGTTATAAACCAGTACTTACGATTATGAAATTGGCTTTAATCAAGCAAAATTAAAAAAAAATGTGTTGAAAATTGGCCAACGCTGAATTATGTCGAAATTATGTTTTCCATACTCACGCTCAAGAAATTGGTTTTAATCAAGAAAAATCAACACAAAAATATTATTTCCTTTGGAAAATAGAAATTTATTTAATATTTTCAAGCTAAATCAGCAAAATTGATATACAGCGCAATAAATGCTTGTGTTAAAAATTGGTTTAATTCTTAACTATACAAGAAGAATGTTTTACCTTGATTTTTTGGACATTCAGTATTTTCACACAAAAATTAAGCAACTAAAGAAGTTATTAAATAATAATACAACTTTTCGGTTTTTTACTTGAATATTGGCCAATGAATGTTGTATACTTAAAAATGCATTTCCCTTTTTTTATGATAAGTTTCGTTAATATGGCCATTTTTGTGTTCAAAAATATTTTCCGAACATATCCGAGCCACGATTGTAAAAATGCGCTCGGATAAATTCGAAAAATTGTGTATGTAATTTTTTTTTAAATTGTTATTTTAAATCTAGAGCCGTTTCGTTCTTTGAACTGTTGATTTTTTCCGTGTTGGATAATTTTGAAAATGTGATAAGGCGTTTAACAATCATTTAATAGGAATTTAATGTTTGTAAACATCGTCTACACACGAAAATATTTTGTTATCTTTTTGAATGAGTTGATAAGATCAAACTAAAAACTTTTGAAACGAAAACAATATATAAATATGTATGAACAAAAAAACAGTTTTAATTTGAAAAATACGAAGCAAGTGTTAAAAAAATACTCAGAGATAATCAAAAATATGTTTTTGTTATTGCAATGTATGTTTATGTTATTATTTTTATCCAATTAGTGGAGCGCCGAAATTAAAAATGGGTGTTATCTGAGAACCTGTCGAAAAAGGCTACTCCGATTTGATTTATTATTTTTAACTGGTGTAAATATACAGAATGTTTCTGAATAAAATACCGTAAACTGGGGGGCATGTAGACATTAACTTTGATTTCAAAATATTAAACAGAAACTCATTCGTCTTCATCAACCCACAATTTTAAAACTAGTAAAGATGTCAAATCCTTTCTTCAAGTCGATATTTACACGACTATTTTGTAATCTTTCTGTGAATTTGGTATTTTGTAAACAACTGTTTTTAAAGACATCTGTGTATAATTCATTTTTTTAGCCAACCTACCATTTTAAAATCAGTAAAGATATCAAATAGCTGTTTTTATGAAAATGTTTTTATAAATATTTTGTATGATTTCTGAACATTTGATTTTTTTTATTATATTTACATTATTTAATAAGAAATCGGAGTAGTTGCAGTAGGGCAGAGATAAAAATGTAATAAACTCCACTAAATAGTAAAGAAAATATGTGTGAATATCTTCCTTGATGTATCCTATTATTTGATTTTAAATATTTACCTCTATTTTCACAAAAAGGAAGATATTTATCACATATCTTCAAAAGCTATCACAATGATTGAATAATACAAGAACAATTGTTTCTTCTTGTACGTTTTCTGTTTCATTTTACAATTATTGTTGTTTCATCAACGGCCATGTTATTATTTCGAGACCTTCTAGTTCGAAGGTCGGACTTATTTAGTAAAAAAGAAATCTTTAAGTTTTTAAGCTAAGTTTTGTAAAAATTGTACAGTGATATTATAATGTATATAAACGTGAAGTTATCAATATTTGTTACTATTACGTTATGTTTTTATAAATTGAACAAATTTAAACTTAATACAATTTTTATTGATATTTTTGTGTTTTATTTTTAAAATAAATCCCAGAAGAAATGCATTTAATTCTTTTATTTTTAAGCAATTCATCGTAAAAAGGAAAAAATACTGTGTATTAGAGAATATGCAGCAGGTGTAGAAAAAAATCACTTTTACACAAGTGATGTACAATATTTTTTTCTACGACCACATTTTTTCATCAAAATAATGTAAATCTTTTTTGTCTCGTATACCACTAT